GCTCCATCCCGGGGGCAGTAGGCAGGCGGACAAGCGTTGATGTCGCGCCCCTTTTGCCGCTTGAAAGTGCGCGACAAAGGCGCAAGGAGCTCGTGCAACTCACACCTTCGTCCGCAAGCCCCACCCTCCGCTGTCGGTTGCCACGTGGCGCTGCTTGAAAAGCGCGGGCGCATTTGAGGCAGCGGTCCATTGCGATTCAATGTCATGGCACTGGAGCAACTGGAGTAGGCTCGTGAAACTCGTCCAACACGCCCCTTCTCTATCCCAAGGTGGAATGTGGCTGAAATAGAGGTCCTTACGGGGCGTAATCGGTGGTTTCGTTTGCTTTCCTTTCTTTTACAGACCACCTCCCACCTCTAGCTTCATAAAGAACGCTCTTCCACACCTATTTTATCCCGAAGCCTGCCTTCAAATAAAATCTCTACCAAAAATCCTCTACACGTCAAAGTAGAGCAGTCATTACCCTTAACTGTTGGGGCCAAGCCTCTGATTATTTAGATTTTTTATACTATTTAGCTTTCTAACCACTTCTTCCGATGGAACGGTGTCACTAGAACAATACGATTTGGCTTTTCGTCATCACTGGAGGCACTGTGTGCAAGGCAGCTGTAGGCTAGTGATTCAAGCGCGTCAAGAAACGCGCGAATGTATGTCAACTATTGAGAATATTAATCGTAGTGTAACCTTCTTCTCCAATGAAAGCTTTGTGTTTTGTCATTGGCAGTAGAACTTTCAGTCAAGCTAATAGGACTAACCTCGAGCCAGTGTCCTTTAGAAGCCTAGTGGCAACATAACCATCTACGAGCCGTTCTTTCGAATCTTTCAGTGCTAACAACTGATGAATTACCTGGAATTGAAAATAATTCTAATGGAGGCACAAACATGGATGTTTTAACAGCGCACAAAAAATGACCTGCTTGCATTTATCAACATCGGCCGCAGACAATTGTGGCTGCCTGATGATGGAGATGAAGGCATCAAATCGCTGAAAATCTCAGTAGAATCGGACTATTCTCGATCTCCTTAGTAATGATGAGAGTAACATCCAGCACGACGAATGTTTAAATCGCTCAACATATTTTGAAAACTTGGTAGAAAACCAGGTAGCAAACAGAACACGATTAAATAGAGCTACAACCTCTGGTTTACATCTACCAAAATGCAAAAACACAGCGACACAATAACTATGCGATGGCCTGTATAAAAAGCTTGCAGAAGAACACCATCACGGTTGTAACAACTATTCGTCTATTATAGGAAATTGAAATGAAGGCAGACCTCAACAGGACTAGTAAGATCATTTAAACTTTAACTTGCGGTCAAAAGCTTCTACGACAACGGAAAACGTAAAGCAAGGAAAGGATAGTGTATCGGAATTCATAATGAGATGTGTATATCTGCATGCATCGTAAAACGCCGATCTTGAATGTACCTTTCAAATCTGCTAAGTTATTCGCTGAACACTGTACAGAAGCTTACAGAAACAGAGAATTATTTCGGAGCCGGAAATGATGTCTGCGGTAGGTCGCACTGATCTTTGACTTTCCAGGCTCTGACGAAGGCGACCAAGCCGAAACGTTAGCCGAATAAAGTTCTGTATCATCTTGGCTTGTGGCTTTAAAGCAAATCTAAGAAGAGTACAGATTTTTTTTTCTCGTGCTGTTGTGTATGGGATCGGTTAGATGGGAGGCTCGCTGTTTTGCTTTTACCGAAAGCGAGACTTACACCTTCAAGATAACCTTCGCACGGCGCAGAACAGCAGTTAATAATCAAATTTATTGGACTGTACAGTGAATTCGTGAGCGATCGTGCACGTTTGAGCATCACCTCCCCATGATCACTCACCATAATACATTCACTAGCATTTCTGCCCCTAAAGGAAAATAGCTATCACGTCGAATGCATCCCTTCCTATGCAACAAAGTCCGCTCACTACCGAGAAGATCCAAAGTCCTCTGAATTTCTCCTAAAGCCCTCCCGTAACGCCGTTCATTTGTGAGTTTCATCTCTCAGAACACCCCTCTCAGCTGCGCTCTGGATAGTGCAAGCCATAAGGTGTTCCTGCATGCTTATAAAGAGAAAACGGAAATGTTTGTTCATCGCCCAATTTCCCCACACCAGCGACTACCCGGAATCTGCGCACCGTATTCAGGGATGATGCGTCCGTTTCGGTTGTATCAAACAATGTTTTTCACTAGCAACTGCTACTACCTCTCCATGCACGTAAACCATCTACACTTTGATTCCAGTTTATTAAAGGCAAAGTTCGGGCTCAGACCCACTTAATGAGCCTTTACGGTGGCTAGAAGCGCTAGGTACGCAAGTGTAGGGTCGCGTCACTTCCCTACTTCGAAAACCGTTATTTAGACGCTAGGCGCTAAGAACTTTGACACGCTCCACCTGCTTGCGACACGCTCCGCCCACCGCTCGATATCTTGTCTGCGTCGCAATGTTGATCTGCTATGCTCTCTCTACTTAGACTTCTCTAGCGCTCTCCGCGCTCACATTATCTCTCATCTCCCTGCCGGCCTTTTGAACTTCTCCGCACCGTAGAGGAAATGGCTCGTATTTCCTAAGCATTTCACGATTTTTTTCTCTTTTCTGCACTGGCGGTCCACTACCTACCCCTACTTTCACATTTAAGTGGAATTAACTCATAATTCAATCCTGAATCTTGCCTTTAAGTGCTCTAACGCCACTAGTTTACTGCCATTTAAAGAATTTCCAACCAAGCCTAATTACTTTTTACACTGAATGTGATGATGCAAACGCGAAAATCCTGACTAGGAATTTGACACGTAGACGCAGATCATGACTTAACAAACACCTCTCATCCGTGGAAGCATTCACACACCTTAGGTATACTGTAAATGAAAGTTTGGTCAGAGCGGAGAGGCCAATATCGAGTGACTCGAAGTAGTTGACGACGTGGTTGAGCGCACAACACATTCGTATTCTGAAAAAGCACACTTGAAAAATGCACCAGAAGCCACCATCTCCTCTTATGAGTAATTCCTACTACACATATGTATAAAAATATAGAACGCTATGTCTATGTGTAGGCTGTATTACGCGCCGCAGCAACAGTGAACTATAGTTCCTACATTGGTGTAAGAGGTTGAATGGATGCACGGGTGATGGTGATAGAAAGTGATAGCATCTAATAAAAGCTGACAAGGGAGGTCAGGCTGTAATCACCACAAATTCCGTTGCGACAATCATGGTGACTAAGAGGTGGTGGTTCAACTGATAACGGCTAACAACGATAATAAAATGTAAATGTGACCGATTCGTTGCTTCTCTGGCTGTGATAGTGGAACATTGGCCCTTTCAATTGACTTGGGATCTTACGTAGACACTGATGACAGGTGATTTAATGATAGGGACTTAAAGTGGTGTATGAGGGCAGATGTCTCGAATCACATCAAGCTTCATGATGCAGCGCTATCATTAGCAAATGAAAAGACAGTTGAGCTAGATGGCAGGAAGTGATAATTACCGGTGAGGACAGCCATAGAATCAGCGACAACTGACTGCGACTTAATCCGCTACACCAATACTAGCTGAGCTAATTACAGTAGGTATTCAGTGAAAGAGGACTCTCCATTCGCAATTCATTATCAAGAGAAGCAGAACTTTCTGTATTCAGAACTTCTGAGAATGCCCGTCACAAAATAATTTTGCTTTCTATTTTGCTCAGTAAAAGAGCATGTCTCATTCCTACTTCACTTAATAGCGACAAAACCTACTTAATCGCCAAAACAGCTGAACTTAAGAACAATTTTGAATGGTTCCAGAGTGATAAGAAGGAAAAATGACCACATTGCCATTAATCTGTTGTTGATCTGTCCTCTTGAGATGGCTCACGCACGTTGCGTGCAGAGTAAGAGAAATCTGTGTGTAGATAGAGGAAATTGCTAATGGAAAAGAATGGAACACCCGCTAACAAATGAGACAAGAACTCCTTCAACTTAGGACAAAGGAACAGTCGCGATCAGGAAAAAGAAGCAGATAAGACTAGGAATAGTATAGTTTGTAAGTCTTTGAGGAAGGGAGTAGGGGTATCGGGAGTGGGAAAACATATGAAGCAAGGAAGAGAGGAACAAGGACATGAAAGCAGTGGCAACAGGGCTCCAAAGCGATGTTGGACCTAGAGAATCCTCCATTATATAAACCGCTACTTTGCGCCGTTGAGGTGTCGGCTTGTATGTATGTATGTCTGTATGTATGTATGTATGTATGTGTGTCCGTCCGCAAAATGAAGTGAGTAAGGAAGCTCATGGGATAAACAAACCGCTAACAAATCGGGTAGCTCGCAGGATTTGAGCTATCAATATTTTGCATTGACATTGGTGATGACATCTCAACAGTTTACGGACTACTTGATTTTGGTCTCAGGACATCTGTCAACCGCGAGCCTTGGCGGTTCAGCGTTTTGTAGTGATGTCTGGGAGCTCTCACAAGTGCACACTATCACAGCATCTCCTCTTTCTTTATCTTCTTCAAAAGGCTTAGTCCCAATAAGACACAAAGTGTGTGCTTTTCCAGCTACGCTCTCACCCTTTGGTTGACAGAAGCCTTGTAACCCTTGATTTTTCCTCAATGGTCCTGCCGCGATGGCTAGAGCACAGACGATTAGAGAATGCCCTAGGACTAAGCCTTGGAGAGGAGAGGGACCCGCTAGAGAGCGCAGAGGTTAAAGGGCTGAGTTCAAGTAGTCCGTCGACCCATCTCAGCATCAGCGTAAACCTTTTAGCACGCTCTCGGTCATTCCATATAGTGCTGCAGTGGCAGCTGGCAGTTGGGGAGGGGGGCTTGAGGGGGAGAGCAGTGGAAGAGGACAGAGGATGCGGGACAGAATGAGGAAAAACGTTTCACAACAGCACTCAAGTACAATCATGTGCTGAGTTGTTCATAATAACGTCATGTCATGACAACGAAAGGCGTAAAGCTTGCGCAAGGAAGGAAGGTCACGGCGGTCGCCAGAAGACCAACATGGTATAGAAAAAACTGTTGGTTATTGGCAGGTGCTTACGGCTTCAACAGAAAAGGCTAAATCTAAGAAGTGGTCAACTGAAAACATGCTTTGGGGTGGAAACAATACTAACCGGAATCTTTACTTTTTTGTCCGCATCGTTAGCCATCCTCAAGGTAGATTCTTTGATCAGAGAAATGAAATCAGATATCCGAGCATTCGTCGTTCTTTTCAATTTCACTTTCTCACGAACCTCCTGAGCGTCCAATAGTTCTGTAATAGTGGTGAATGCTCATGATGTGCACACACCCATTTGATATCCCATTAGATTTCTCAGCCAACTTCAGAAGCGGAAAAAACGAACTGTGAGGGCCAAGATCATTGGCATGGATGTAGATATGGCCACCATGTGCAATTAGCGTATGTGCAATCAGTTTTGCTCCCACGTTTCCGAGCAAACCTTCGCTTTTCGCGACATGCTGGAAAGCTGTTTTGGGTGACAAAACATGAAGCTATGAAAACTCAAAGAGAAGAACAAACACTACGACTGACGTTGATTTCCAGCATCACATTTCGTCCTTGGAGGAGATAAGATGACAAGCACACCGATGGGCGACTATTGACTGCAGATGGAGTTACTGTAGAGGCATGTCGCGTGCGTGGAAACTTGATAGAAATAAATTAAAAAAGGATAATAAATAGGAATTGTAGATGCTAAACAACCATATTCCATCGTCCTTTCGGTACTGGAGTCGCCCATACAAGACGAGTGGTAGGGTATGTTGCATTGCCAGAAAATATCATGAGCGAACCTGTCACATCTGCAACATGGCAGATTTATTATACCACAACGCACAAAAGTATATACTGTATCTCGCGTTCTATTATATTTCTGGTCGGAATTCCACAGCTAAGGACAAACAATGGAACACTTGGCATTTTTGGATCCCTTCAGAAATCATCATACTTTTCGGCTGCTTGTAATTGTAAAAAACCAAAAACAAAAAAAATCTAAAAAATGGATTAGTAATAGTACTGTTAAAAATAAATAAGAATTTTCACTTGGTCCACACAATTTCACAAGGTGCTTTCTACATCACAATTTTACAACACATCACAATCCCGTTCAACCCATTCAAGCTCTTAGGAAATGAAGTTTTTAATAGTGAACAATGCGGCGGTTACCACAGTAAGGTGCAAGAGCCTCAGGAAATGGCAGAAGAGCTGGATGCACGTACTTCATAAATAAGAGCTCATAGGGAAACGAAAACCCTGACGATTGTAGAAAGTGATTCATCGTTTCGCACTACACAAACATTAATGAAGAAAATGGGACTGCACAAGAACTTGAATCAAGTCCTAAAATAAAATCAGAACTGAAGGAAATGTTAATACCTTCCACACTGTTCGCCGTGACGAGTCCAAGACGCTCAAGTTGAGCATGAGCTGCTCTTCTGTGCAGCAATTCCACGTCATAATTAATTGCAATCGCAGGCTGGCCTTGTTGAGCTTCCTCCTGTAACACGTAAGAACGTTGAGCTTATAACAGACCCTTTTCGTTGTCACTGACTTCGATGACTTAATCATTCTTCTACAAATACATCTACGGAAGCAAGCAATGAAAGCAGCCTCCTACTGCAGCAAACAACTGCTAATCGCAAGATGCTAAGAGTTTCCAATTGCCTAGGATAGCGAATCTAAGAGGTTTTTTTTCTCATGCTCGAAAATTATGCTGAAAACCTTGGAGCGAGAAAGAAAGACAATGAGTAAAAGAAACAGTGGGTAAAAATATCGTGTTATGCACCAACAAACCTTCATTGGAATCCCGGAGACTGTAGTAGATACAAGATCATAAATATCTATAGCTACAGAATGAATCGCAGAAATTAATTCAACACCCGCTGAACGAGAAAGAATACATGATGACATTGTGCTCGAAACCTGAAATAAACCTTTACAGCTGATGCCAAACAAGATCCCTCTTTGTAACGAACGAAAATACGATAAGAGGAACCTGGAAATGTTTGCTGTGTTATAATATAGACCCTTATTTTCACGCTATCACCACTACGTATGTCGAAGCGTCGCTCGTTTGACTCTTACAGCGGGCTTCAGCGTAGCACCCACCCGTCGCAGTAAATACATTTCTGGAAACCGCTCCCTGCTAGGGACGTGCACATTGATTTGCTTTGTGGCGAAAGCCTTCATTGAAATGTCCTGACCATTGCGGCCTGGATCGTCCTGGGTTGGTTATTGACTTCTCGAGGGATCTAATCAGTAGCCACACCGGTGTGCGATCGCATGATGTGTTCGGTTATCTGATTTCCGATCCCTCGATATGTCTGATTTCAGATTGTTGATAGAGTTTGGAGTTAGAGATTTCAGAGTTCGTATCCCTTCTACCCTTGCGTTTGTCATAAAAATCCCAAGTACGTTCTCTCAATAGCGTGCTGAGTAATGCTAATAGCACGTTATCCTATCTGCGCAGAATCCAAGGACCTAAAACGCACGTTGAGGAAGTGAAAAACAGAATCGAAGACGCAAGAACAGAGGCGGATGTTCTTCGCCTTCTCCACCACTACCTTTTCTCAAATGCTTCCATGCCTTCCTCCTAAACAACTCTAGAGCGCTTCGTTCATTACGTTAACTTCCCAACATAGTTTCACGTAGATGGAACACTCCGAGATTTTAGTTCCGTTGAGAGTGAGGCAGGGTGAATGAAGCATCAGCGACCATTCTGTTCCCTCGGCATCGTCCTCGTTACGTTCAGCGGCAAACCGACCTTTCTTCACTCGCACTCGGAAAGAAACACTCTGAGTGGTCGTATACACGACTTATTATTCATAATGACATATGACGTTTCAAGCGCACTGGAATGTTTTGGCACAAGGGGGTTCCTCTTTCGAACCCCTCTGCTCACAGTTACGACCGATTCGCAACGGCGACCGTGTCGTGATCGACTGTAGTGAGACTTTTCACCAACAAAATTTATCGCTTCTCGGCCGAAATCACACCTACGACTAAAATACACGCGACGCTGTCGTTCCGACTACACCGCTCCCTCCTATCATCGAGCAAAATATTACCTCTCTGAATGATTTAGATGAGACTTTAGAGGGTTGGTCACCAGGAAATACGTTGATGATGTACAGCTTCACATGATTTATGCAAGAAAATCTGAAAATGAGTGAGTACAACAAAAGAACAAGGTACTGAAAATATAATGGCATCTCATAAACTAACGTGCTATCCTGCAACGATTTGATAATCCTATTCCGACCGCTTATCATATCAGCCACTTCATTTTCCAGTTCAGCTAAGCGTTCATCTCTGAAAATCCGAAGAATTTGGAATGAAAAAAAAAGATTTGTTGTAAAGGCAAGCAAACGGAACACACTCGGTGTACGCCGTGAAAATTACAACCGATCCACAATTTTCAATAACTCGTCGATCTGATTCTGCCGAAACCGAAGAAGTTGATGGACATTCCCAACATTTCGGAACGCGAGAAAAACTGCTTCTTTCCTTTGATACGCCGATTTCCTCTACAACAATGAATAAAAAATCTACGAAAAAAAGGCCAATGAGAAATTTGCAATATAAATTATAGATGGGCCTCATGAGAGTAAAGAAGCAATGAAAACATTCTGTTGTAGAAAGAAGATGAACTTAAGATTAATCTAACCTTGTAAGGGAAAAAGCTCAAATCGCCAAGGTCATTTAGAATCATACACTCCTTTCCAAGCGCTGGATTCAAATCTATCTTCCGAAGCTGAATATTCAATGAACGGACTTATTGACTTTTTTCTGCGCCACCTTGCAGTGTATCACAAAGCATTCCCGTAAGTCCAGCCAGGTATGTCGCAAGCAAGTTGTGGCACTATTGCGCATTTGGTAGTGGTCGTGAAATCAAACCAGAAATCATCTTTTGTCACGTCCTGTGCATGCTTATAAACGTAAATGTTCAAGAGTGGTTGTCTATAGAAATGTGGCGGCATCTGGCAGTGGCATAATAAATGATTCTGAAGTTGTTGCAGCTACCCAACGAAACACAACATTGCGTCCTATCAACACCCAGTAGAACATCTAAGCACATCGCTCCTAAACAGTGCCTGCTTTGAAGGATCTCTTGGCGTAGAAGCTACTTGCGTGAAAAGCAGCAATGGTTCTGCAGCGAGAGAAATGCTCAAGCTTTTCAAATGGTACCAGCGAATGCGTGTCTACCTATCAGAAAGAGGTAATTGTCAGCTGTCACTGCTATACGTACCTTTCGGCCAGCCTCAACAACAACTTTGATCATTATTCAACTTGAAAAATATATAAAATTATTTCAGGGTTTTAAAAGGAACTGAAAAGGTACGAACTCTTACTTTCATTCGAAATCTCATTCCTTTCTCCTTTGATTTGTGCTTCACTTAGCTGACTAAGAGCTTCTATGGCCAGAGTGATCCCACTTAACGCCAAGCTTTCCCCATCGTCGTTGGCAGAAGGCAAACCAATTGCTGATAGCGACGCCAAAAGCTAGAAATCGCGAATGATCGGTGATGAACGTGCTCATCTTTGAAAATGAACTCTTTCCAGAAACAGGATGCCGGGACCTGAGAAATACCAAATAATGGAACTAGTAACACCAAATACGGCCAATCAAGACGAAATAAAAAGTACAGCGGGAACAGTTTTGAACGCTTATCTCAAAAAGCTTTTCAGATGTGTCAATCAATTCTGAGAATGGAGTTCTAAAGATTTTAGCTCACGCTTTGAGCAGGTGTCAGGTTTTGCGATTAATTGCTACCTTGATCAGTTCGGTGTAGCACATCCTCAAGGGGGCGCTATCACCAAAAAGTTTTGCCCGAGGTCTCAGGAAAGAACGTAAATTTATCGGCTCCTTTGGGACATCCAACACTGTGTGGAGAGGGCGCTCCGATCGCAAGCAATTTGTTGACAGGCCTGACACCTTGCGCGTAACCAAGGGCGGTTCTATGTAGGCACATCGGCGCATGTGCCGCACATGTCGAGCGTTTTCGTGCCGAACGAATGCGATTCCGTGTCAATGACCCTATTTACCCAGATTTCGACTTTAGCGTTGAGGAGGGGTGCAATGGGGAAATACTAAGCTTGGAACCAATTTAGAAGCAAACTACAACCGAGAAGTGATGGAACGGACTGTGTTCAAAAGGTGATTCCAAAAGGCAGTGAAAAACGACACCAGCGGATTCGAAACCCGACACTGTTCCAAGGAACCCCTCTTCAGAGCGCTATCCCACCAGAATACTTTAAGTACCCAGATGGTGCAGTTTACACGCTGCTACTACTCTCTCTCATTCCTGGGTTTGAAGAGAGAAAAAATCTTGGGATATTGCTAAAAGCACAACCCAGGAAAGATCAAATGGAAGAATTCTGGGTGCACTCAGCAACAATGCATCCATATCGCGTGCAAGGACCACACTAGTTTGATCCTAGAGCGCGCCTTCAGGAGAAAACAGGGAAAGGGGATTCTAGATTACTGTCCAGGACAAAAACATGTCCTTTGGCATATTTATCAATAGCAATGGTCACTCGACCAGAGATTCTTTCCGCAAAAGAAATCGTGGCCAAAAAGAAATAAAAAATCTAGAAAAAAAGATATCAATACTATGGGGCGCACCTCTTGTTGAGTCACGAGCTGTGTGCCCCATCGCGGTTGAAGTACTCTACCGACGTAATCTGCAAGAACAAGCCGCATGAGGCGAGCGGAACTAGGATCCCGTTCCTGAGAAAACAGATCCCAAACAGTTCGATGCAGTTCTAGTGTCGCCTCAACACACCATGTCCAAAGAGACTTATCACATTTTCCAACCTGAAACATATGTTGAAGATACGGTCATCCTTGCTAAACAATGGGGTAAAACAAGTCACTTCCTACCCCACTTGCACCACTGAATTAACCACCATTGCTAAACTGATTATGAAACTCCAAGGTAGCCTTCTGAGCGAGCTACGTCAAGACATGGCAGGTGAACGAAATGCGATGTGTGAATTCAGCAGGACCTCTAAATTCTTCATCTTCAAAAGTTTTCCTGAGGGATGCACGCGCATGGTGACTGAAAGAGTTGAAGATAGATGGTGTATTTCGTGGCGGTATCTTTTTTTAGATCTCAATGTTCCACTCTACGCGGAAATTTTCTGCGCTTACTGCACTAGTATCAGTTGCATTGGACCATAAGGCTACCGCGACGTTGACGTTGGTTCATAGTGGAGCTTCAAAATCTCTTCGTTAAGAGTTAGATGTAGAAGTTGTCATTCACTCTCATCCAACGATTCACAAATGCAAGATCTGCTACCTTTTTCATGTCACAACAATCAATCTGGTCGCAAGCAATTACGATAAAGCTCCCTGGTTATTCGGTGATAACGTGACTTCATTTGT